GTATATACATACAGATGATGAATAAACATGAATTTTTAAAAGTCAATACAAACTCTTAAACAAGCATCCATTCATTAACCCTCTACTCCTCCCCCAACCAGCCACTTTATTCAAGGCTTGGGAACGTAGCACATCTGAGTACAGCAAGCTTTTAACCCAGATATTACATAAGCCCTTTCAAATATTAAGTGGAATTCTTATTAAACTCAGTTGTTTAATTTCCAAAGTTTTAACTGCTAATTGAGAGCTCTGCCTCCTGCAACTGATTAATATTCAGAGGGCATTTGCTGAGGATGGCGAGAAAAGTTTCGTTTCTCTATCGAGATTAGGTCTGCAACAAACATGGCATCATCAGAAAAGTTTGGAGTGGATGATTCACATCTGATAATAATAGTAGGTGTTTATTAATTAATATACGGTAAGAATTAATTTTTTGGCACTAGTTTCCTTTCGCTATTACAAGGAGGCGTGCAATGCCAAGATCACAGCTCGGTATTCCTAGATTCTCGAAAATAGCTGAATGTATCCGAAAGAACAAGAAGCAACCAACCCCTAACTCAATTACCTTTTAAGAGGGTTTAAATTGTTACTCAATTATTGTATTTGATGACAATGGTTAAAATATTGAAATAAATATAAGTTTTGCATCCCGATCTGGTAATTGGATTATTAACTGCGAATAACAATAATTACGATGTTATGAATTTAGGTAGCTATTTAAATATTGGGATATCAAGGAAAATACATTTCACCTTCAATTAGATTAAAGGTAGTAGGTAATGTGATATATGATTGAAAATTTTCGAATTGAATAACAGAACATTTAACATCCACCACGAATACAAAGCTAGAGAAACTTTGAATACGAGGGATATGTTAACATTAAAAAACCTTCAGTAGTGAACTTTAAAAAAAATTGTAAACATCTCAATAAAAATAAATTAAATATAGAGGGACTGGGTAGCAGAGTATTCTAACACGGGTGCAGAATGCATTGATCGGCAACCTGATTAAGTGAAGATAGAGTAATAAAATAATTACGAGTTCGAGTCCCGGCGTCCGGGAGGTAAGGTGATTTTAACTCTAACAATAATCCACTGCAAAATAAAACAAAGATTCTAAAAATGAGAATACTATATTGATAAATGAAAATATTGACAGTGAAAGAAGCTCTTCAATAGAAACGGTAGAAAAGTAATAATCTAACCTTTTAAAATATTGGTATATAGAAGAGAAATTGATTGAAGTGGTCAGTCAAATGTCGGCAAAAATAAAAACAAATAGGTCCCTTCAAATGGATATTTTCGTTCCAACCTATAATAAATAATTAACTATCTAACAAATAAACAAATTTTCAATTGACAATTTCAAATTGACATCAATTCAAATTGAGCACAACCGTTAGTTTTATTCTCAGTAGCTTCTAAAAGGAGAAGTTTTTTACAATATACGGTAAAATGGTTTTAATTACACGAATGTTCTGTTGAAGTATTCTCCATCAACTAAAATGAAAAGGGGTTGTCTCGGAAAAATCTTAACTAACATGATTGATGAAAAAAAGGAGGGAAGCGAGATAATACCCTTAGCAGACTTCCCCTCCCGCGACAAGACCTTCAATTAGAACTCGGGAGGAAGAAGCCCTGTAAATGACTAATCTGTTTTATGGGCCTTGTTTTGAGCTAATTGAACGATATCTGGTTAGTGATGGCACCTCACTCACCTCGGCAACACTAATGAAGGAATGGAGTCAGCAGATTAGAGGCCTTAAATATGGCAGGTCGTTGCTCATTAGGTGAGCAAAGGGTACCCACCAATTAGATTGTTCTTCTTGATCTCATGAACTTGCCGTACTTAACTCTCCCTTTGCTGTCATGGCAACACCTTAGATTTTAAGATTAGAAGTACTTACGCTATAATTGGTCCCTAAGTCATATCCTAAGTTTATTAAACAGACTAAAAATAAAAGGTTTTACTTTCCTTCTATTATTTATATTATTTCCAATAATGAACTAATGTAATCGATCGAAAAATTCGAAAATTTACGTTCAAATTGGTCTATCCGCCGTCCGCGGGTTTTCTCCGAGACTACCATGTTGATTTTTTTGAGATTTGGAATCAAAGGTCAAAGGTCACGAAAAGTGGCTAAGATAATCTCCTCGAAGACCTTTAAATGTATGTATTTAACGTACTTCTCCGAAAAGAATCTGGAAAATAAATTAGGAGATATACAAAAATTAGATTTCCGAGTAACCCAAACTTGTTTGTGATTTTCATAATCAAGTATTTAAACATACGCCAATCTTGATGGATTACACACTTGAATTCTTCAAAAACCTCTTTCTAAACTTCAAGCTGAGATTATATACACCTCCATACACTCATCCTTTTAACATATTCAAATAATCTATCCATTCTCTTATTTAACTATTATTGACTATTTGATGAATTACACGCTCGAAACCCTAGCCTTCTGATTTCTGGAAATCCATCTTCAATATTACAATATTTATTCTACTGTTGATTTAGAGTCTATGTCAGCATGTCCAATGTCTATCTACCATTGCTTGGACTGAATTGTGGTTACCATAATGATGTTCAACTAATTAATTACGCAGAACGTTTATTAAAGAAGCAATACACATTTCATTATTTCCCCATGTCTCCGTTAATGTAAAAGTGGTTCACGGAACTGTCAAGTTTTTTATATTTAAAATAATTTTTAATCCATCTGAATATGACTTATGTCTTAGGCCAAACATTATTTTGCAAATCATTGTAAGAATGAAATGAAATAAAAAAACGTTAATAATTACTTTTATTATAATATAATGTAAGAAATTCTTATCTATTTTTTTTTATAAAACATATTATATTTTATTATAAAAGGTATTTGGTGAACTTTTTCTTTCTTGATAATTTATTTTTTCAATTGCTGACTTTGTTCTTCCGGTACATGCTTTATATATAGCATTTCCAAGTCATTTTTAACCTTTTCCAAATCAAATTCAACCTTTTCCAAGTCAAATTAAACCTTTTCCATTTCGAATTCAACCTTTTCCAAGTCAAATTCAACCTTTTCCATTTCAAATTCAACATTCGAATTTTTGTCAATTTTCGATTTTTTCTAAATGAAGGCCACTTACTATATTATCGAAGGCATAGCTTTTGAAAAATACAAAAAAAAATTTGATAATGCGGTTGCATATCCATTTATTTTAACATTTTAGATTTTTTCAGTTAAATATTTCTATGTCATATTCAAATATTTCCAAGTCAAATTCAATCTTTTCCAGATCAAATTAAACTTTTTCCAAGTCAAATTCAACCATTTCCATTTCAAATTAAACCTTTTCCAATTCAAATTCAACCGTTTTCATTTCAAATTAATGTTTTAATTTTTTGTAAATTTTATGTATTTTTTTAAATAATGGCCATCCCCTCCTCCCCTCCAATATGAAAGTCTATTATTATGCTCTCCTAAGTAGAATTTTCACTTACGGATATCGCTTTATTGTACCTATTCGGATTTATTAGGGACTATTATTATGCTGTCATGTACCTAGTTTTTAAAATAACCTCCATTTTAAGATTACGCCACAGCGTTTTAACTTATTTAAGTTTTTTGAAATTATCCAATATAAAGGTCTACTTGTATGTTTCCGGAGCCGTAGATTTTGAAAACGGCCTCCATTTTAAGATCAGGCCACCGCGTTTCGATTTCTTTGTGTTTTTCGGATTTTTTTCATATGAGGGTGTATTTTTATGTTTCTGGAGCCATAGATTTTCAAAACGACCTCCATTTTAAGATTAGGCCACCGCGTTTCGATTTCTTTAAGTGTTTCGAATTTTTATCATAAAATAGTGTATTCTTATGTTTCCGGAGTCATCGATTTTGAAAATGACCTCCATTTTAAGATTACGCCACAGCGTTTCGACTTATTCAAGTTTCTCGAATTTATCCAATTTAAATTTCTACTTTTATGATGCCGGAGCCTCAGTTTTTAAAACGATGTACATTTTAAGATTAGGCCACTGTGTTTTTTAAGTGTTTTTGATTTTTCCTAAACAAACTACGAAGGATTAATTTATTATTTAATAAATAAATAAAAATATCTAATCGAGATAAATAGAATATGTATTGTCTCATTTTTAATTTAATTTTAGTTTTATGTTTTAATGTTGTGGTCTTCTGTAACAAAATTATAAGATTTCGAACAATTAGCTGAAAAATCTGAATACGGTAGGCTACATTTATTACCAGTTGCTTTTCGGCTTTTTAGTTTGTATTCTGTGGTTAATTTAACATTAGCTTCATAATATTTATTTATTCATATTCTAAAACATATTGATGAAAATTTGTATTGAAAAAATCCAAAATGAAGCCTAATTAATCGAGATGCAGCGGCTTAATCATAAAATGGAGATTAAATATTAGATAAATTTAAATATTAAAGATTAGAAAAATTCAATATATCTCCGATAACATATAAGTAGATCCTTATACCGAAAAAGTAAAAAAAAAGTTTTTTATAATCCAAAACACAGTGACATAAACTTGAAATGGGGTCATTTACAGAATGGGAGAAATCTACTGCTCCAGAAACATAAAAGTAGACCTTCATATTTGATAAATTCGAAAAACTTAAATAAGTCTAAACGCAGCTGTACGGATCGGGAAACATAAAAATACACCCTTATATCGAATAAATCAAAAAAACTTAAATAAGTCGAAACGTAGTCATGTAATCTTAAAATGAAGGTTATTTTCAAAAACTACTCATACGATAACAGACCCACACATCGAAAAATTAAAGATAATTAAATAAATAAAAAAGGTTGAATTTGAAATGGAAAAGGTTTAATTTGACTTGGAAAAAGTTTAATTTGATTTGGAAAAGGTTGAATTTGACTAGGAAAAGGTTGAAATTGACTTGGAAATGCTATATTTAGCGTTTCGAGGATTCATATCCTAATATTAAGGAATTCATATATCCTGGAACATGTCATCCCAGGTCTATTCAAAGCTACAAGCTGTGGAAATGGACTTCTGGAGAAGATGCCTAGGTGTGAAAATGATGGATAGAATTAGGTACGAGGTCGTTACTTCTGGAGCGAAAAGGCTTCTGATTGTGAATTTGAAAAGGCAACTCTCGTTGTAACGCCTATATTATATATAAATACATAACTTTTTGTAATAGTTTCTTCATTTGTATTCGATTCTTTTTCAACCTTTCCATAATTTATTTATATATAATTATATTTCGTCACATGTAACACTAAAATATCTGTTGCGTTGCCTATATCACATTATTTTCACTCACCACCTTACACTTTTTATTTTGCAAAGAGCTTACAAAATAAATGGAAAAACACAATTCAAAATCAAAGAAATGCCTGAAGGATGCAATATTGGATGCAGTCTTCCTCAAGCCTACCCATGCAATTTATAATGTCCATTACCTCATTTGCGGATTGCAAAAGTTTTCAGGTGCAAATAAAATATTTAATAAAAAAAAAAAAAAAAATCAAAGAAATGCGTAGGTCAATCAAAGTTACTAATAATTTTTAATAGAGTTTGAATGTGTTCTCTGAACACTATTTTAAATATTCTTAATTGATACAAATTGTATTATTTATCAATAAATAAGTTAAAAAAATAATTTCAACTAGCATAATATAATAAAATAGATAATAATTATGATGCAATAGAAGTAATGAGATAATATGATATCTACACAATATAATCGATTAAAATATCCATATTTTAAACTTCAAATAAAATCAAAATATAAATAAAATTAAGAAGAAAAACATAAACTACGTTATTTTAGTTTTTCTAAAAGAAAGGTTCCAGAAAGAAAAAAAAAAAAACTTGCATCAATCATATTGATGTCAGTAAAATAGCATAAAATCAAAATTATTGAATCCCTTTCAATATTGTTGTATATTTTCTGGATATATTGAACTAAATACACATTTTAATATGCAATAGAAAAACACAAGTTAAAATCTAAGAAATGTCACAAGGATGCATATTTGGGTGCAGTCTCCCTCAAGAATGACTTTAGGAATGAGACTTTATCTAACTGCAGACCACTTTCTCTTTTGAGAAAGTATAGATGCATTTTTGTTTTGTGTAAACAAAAAATTCCATAAATAATTAACAGTTTTAAAAAAATCGAAATGTATTTATAAAAACACAACATGCTGTTTAGTTTTAACTTTACCAATTTGAAAGTTCATTGTTAGTTGTTTCTCCATGGCTCCATGCTTGTCTCAAGAAGGTTATAACGCTGTTACGTTCTGTGCTGAAGAGCTTTGTTTATATGAATTGGTTTGTGTTTATTCAATTCAACAGTGTTTATATTTAGTGAAATACAATTTTATCAGTGTTAACAAAATTTTGATTTTCAAAAATTATTAGCTATGAGATAGTTTGATTATCATCTGCAAATACAAATGGAATAGATTGAACATTATTTCCAGAACAATAAAGGAAGTAACTAAAACAACGTTTTTATCTGTTCTTATTTATTGCCAAAAGAAGATGTTGAGATAAGTAGTTTAAAATACATTTAAAAGCAAACATGGAGTTTCAAGGTGGAATTAGAAAAAAGCGTAAAAATAAAAATAGACCTGAAGAGGTATCTTCAAAAGTACCTCCTAAGCAAAATTTTAATAAAGTACGTCAGGCTATAGATCCTAGATTTGACAGTGCCTTTGGTGAATTTAATGAAAAAGCTTTTAACTCACAATATGGATTTCTTGAAAAAATCAAGAAGAGGGAGAAATTTAAACTGAAGCATCAGTTAAAGCGTGAAACAGATCCTGAAGAAATTGGTAAGATTCAGTATTTATTGACTAGAATAAAAAATCAAGAGCGAGAAAAGAAAAGGAGAGTAATTAAAGAGAAAATAATTGAGGAGAACAAGCAAAAGTTTGCTCAAGCTGTATTTGCTGGTGAAAATCCTACATTTCCAAGCAAAAAAGAACAATTGGCAGAAGAAGTTCTTCTCAATTTCAAGCACCTTAATTCAAAAGGGAAATTGAGCAAGTATTTATCGAAAAAGCAGAAGAAAATGTCAAAACATAAAAAAGAATTGGATGAGTCCAACAATAGTTTGAATTAGCCTATACACAACTTGACTTTGTTAAGTATATTATTTGATATAAACTTAATTATTACTATTGAACCAATTTCAAATGAAATTTCTTTCATCTACAGAAACTTATATCAATCCTAACCTAACAGTAAAGATGTAAATAGATCTTACACAATGTACAAGATGTGTACATATATGTACATTTTATATTTATACTATATTGTTATTCATTATTAAGAATAAAATTTTTCAATTAATGTTAAATTGTTAATAAAGGATTTACAATAGAATTTGAATTGGTCTTGCATTGCCTCATAATTTATTGAATTTATAAAGCATATTGTATACATAGAATTTATACATATTTATGTATCTTCTCCTTAAGTTATCCTAAGCAATGTAAATATCCAGAAGGTTTGTTCAACTATTAAATGTTTTTGAGATAGGAAAATCCATATTTTTCCAAATAAGTTAAGATACAGCCATAACCGTGGCAAACATCTGCCAAAATATTCTATAATTTATATTGGCCGAGTAGTATGTTTGCTATTAAATATCATTGAAGACTTCTGCAAACATTCACCACGAGTGTGGCCGTACCTTTAGGCTAATAAGTTTTTGCTATTAATACTAACGGTGTGATGACATTGGTTTCTTAATCACTTGTCGTTTTTACTTAAATAATATCCATCTGTGTACAAAGACGTGTTAAAAAAAACCACATGTTCTTTATTGAGTCTTCAATCATTACATAATAGTGATGAGAAACAAAATCAGTGCAATGTCATACCACGTTTATTAATTATTCCTAGCTAACTGATGCAAATTTACTTTACTAATTATCAATTATTTCTATGTAACCATAAATATTCTTACATATGTGCATAGATAAGTCAGTAATTTTGATTTTATACCATTTATATCTTTATTTTGGTTTTCTTAAAAATAAGGAATTCATAAGATAATTTAGGTAGTCATTTAACAATATTTATTCTAATTAGCAAAAAACACTTCCTTTGAAAGAAGTTTGATAATGATCAGAAATATAACCAAATTCTTTAAATAATTGTATGGAACATCATAGAAAACCAAAAAAAAATTATAATTCACCAGTTTCACTCCAACATTTTATTACTGTTTGATTTTAATTTTTAAAAGTTGTCTGATAGGAAGAACACACACATAAAAATATTTGTCAATACGCAGCTACTTTTGAAATTTGTGTTATACTGGACCAGCTGCCATGTTCAAGAAGCACTTGTGAAATAGTGTCCTTAAATACATATACCTTATGTTACAATTTCAAACTTGGCCAATTATAGCATCATAAATTCATTGAAATTGAAACTTTTGCATTAATACAAAAAATGTTTTATGTTATTTCATGTCTCTATATTTTTTTCATTATGTAAAGATATCTTACTATATAATTTCTTGAATTTCTGTTCTGCCTAATTAAACATAAAAAATAGGGATGGACTGGACTAATAGCCTATCCTTCAATTTAGTTTTAGTTTGTCATTAACATTATTCATTGATTATATTTGGTATATCATTTTAACTGTCCGACATCAATGTCTTTTTAAAATATAATGTTACTCTAAAATTGACACGAAACATTCATTCAGGTGCTGTATGTCAACTTTGAGGTAAACAAATTAATTAAATGTTAACTGAATCAAGGATTTATGATTATTTGAAAACTTTATACCAATACGCCATGAGAAATTTTGTTAGTAACATGAAACCTAATATTTTTCATTGGTCAACTAGATTTTTATCAAGAATAGTAATATGAATTCAATAGCTTTTTTTTTATTTTTTATTTTTCTTCACTTTCCCTATTTAGATTTGTCTTTCATTCTTTGGCATACTTAGTTCTGTTGTTTTTTTTTATAACCTATAAAATATGTTGTTATTAGTAATTTAATAGAAATCATGATTATACGTCAACAAACATCATATCTGTTGTGTATTATTGTGAAAATCTAAATAAATATAAACTTTTTTTTATCAAAAATCCCCCCAAGACATTTAGCACAAAAATGTATATCTTTGGAAGAAACAAACAGTAACTATAACTATGTAAAAGCAAATAGTTCTACACCAATAAGCAATATGTACACCATTGATTTATGGATATTAAGAACTTTTTAAGTTCATTCTTATAAACTGTTGATATTAAATGATTAGACAATAAAATAAAAAGATTAATTAGGACATAGTAATAGTATATGTACGTAAAGAAAAACAAAATTTCTGAATGAAAAATACTCAAAACTATACTCTAAATTGTATATCAATGTGTAAATATTTTACAATTACCACAGTATTATGAAAATTAGCTCTGAACATCTGATTAAACATAAAACAACTAAAATCTTCATCAGAAAATCATAAACCTCTCTTTCACCACTATATCTAGTTAGGTTAAATATGTCTGATGACAATGGAAGTGGTTAGACTGAACCATTATAAATAAAGCAGGCGGAAAAGCATTGAAATACAAAAAAAAGTTTTACTCCACCTTGTCAGTTTACTTTGAAGCATTATAATTGTTTCCCAACCAAGTAACAAAGCTATTTACTTTTTTTCACATTAGAGAGCAGAGTGGTTCAGTGAGTAAGGCACTGTGCTCCTTCACTCAGGGTCCAGACGTCTACTCTCACTTTAACAGGTAATTATTTATTTTGTTTCATCAACTAACCATGGAGTCTGGAAACTTTCCCCCGTGGTACACCCAGCCTCTCTATATCTCTAAACACATTCTTGACTGGTGACGAGTTATCTCATCTTTTCATGCCCAAGCGTTGCTGACCAACGACAAGTTAAATCGGCATTGTACATGCATTATAAAATAATAGCTGGTGAAATGACATAGTTTCTGTTTAAAATTGCCATTTAGCAAAGTGATGATTAAGGAGAAAAAAAAACTGACAGTCTAGTGTGATCTCAGTTAAATCATCTTGCAACTGTAAACCAAAAAATCAATAGTTCCTTACAAAGTACATAGCTAGATACTCACTCCCCATTGGTTGTAGTAGTTCAGATTTTTTCTTTATTAGAGAGTACTTAAATGTAATGAACGTGATTGATCATTTGTTTTTATAAAAATATTTTGGAATCTTCTCAGGTATGGCAATCAAAATAAGACTGTTTTATAATATAATACATAAATATTAACCCACATATTAGCAAATCTTATTACTCAAAAATATAAACCTTTTCTGAAAAATAAAAAACCTTCAATTTTTATTTTCGAATTATTGCCAAAAGATGAGGTGAAAGAAAATTTGTAAAAGAAATTCTAATTTAACTTTATCTTGTAAAAAATTTCAATGGTCTTTAGTTCCTGTTAAATCTTGTATTTTAGAGTTATGAGGTTTGGTAATTAGGACAATATACAATAAAATAATTTTATAAAAACTATCATTTTTTTTTTTTTACTTTTTAGCATTCCTCTTGCACTCATATAATTTTGATACCCAACATCAAAACATATAGAGGTATTCTGTTTATGATTCTGGAACGTATTTATTTATCAAATGAACCCAAAATTTTCAATTTATATTCAAATTTTCCTGCAAAAAAATTCACTTAATAAAAATGTTAATCAGTCAAATATTTACCTAGGAATCGAAAAATTTCATGACTGCTGTTTTAAATTCCAACAGTACTTTGTGATGTTAGATAATGTTGAGCATTGATGACCAAACAGTATCATGTTCTAAAACTTTGATTTTGTCTAAATCTCAAAACAATACTCTTATAGAAAAAAATGGTGGCCTTTGTCTACACATTTCTTTGTTAATTTTAAATAAAAAACAGCTGAGCAGCAATTCTTTACCAAATTCTAAATATAGTGTAATGATCGCTGAAGTAAAAGTATCAAATACTTCATTCTGGTTATTTAAAAAGAATATTGTAATTTTCAAACTCCTACACAACTGTAATTCTGTTTTTTAATAGATCCAATTCACAAATGTTTTAATATTCAATATTTCTTTTTTTTTATATCTTAAGAATGTTCTACAAGAGGTCTGATTAAATCATTCCATTCATTTTTTATTGTCGTATTATCATTGAAATCATTGATTTTCACTCTGTATCAAAGGTCATTAGAAACAGAGGAGGTGTATTTTAAATTTGTTTCTTACTCCTTTTGGTTTTGGTCATTTCTGGTTTGGATTATTATACACTGCCAACGACCTTCTCTGGGTTATATGAGCTAAAAATTGGTATTTTCTTGGGAGGAGGAAAGAGAATTTCAGTCAAAATTTTGGTAAGCCCATATGTTTTTTTGCTCTTCTACAAATTTAGTTAGATTGAAAATCTGATTATGAATTGAGTTGATGTTTGAGTGCATTTGGGAGAACTACACTCCTGAATCAGAATTGAATTAATAATTAAGTAGCACTGTTAAAGAAATACGAGCTAAGACATACAAAAAAAAAACTTATTTAAACCAATATTTTTCAGGTAAGTATTGTTTTTTAAAATAATATAATTTTTATTTGCTCATCAAATAAATTTTATAATTTATTTTATTTTTATTTGCTCATCAATGAGGCAGCTTTCATTGCAAATATTTTTATATTTAGTTTCTCAATTTTTTTTCCAGAAAAATATTTGTTTTAGATCGAATTGAGTTAAAATTTAATTTCAAAGCAATAAAGTTAGGTAATAACTCTAATAAGTTTATTGCAATAAACAGAGACCTACTAATTATAATAAATGATACAGAAGATATCACCCTGCAAAAGGGTGGATGGAATGACAAGATACACACCTGAAACAGCACAAGGACCAAGAAACTGATGAAAGGGCAGCAATTAAAAGCAATCAAGTAAACAAAGTAATATATTAATTTTTTTTTCTTCTTCTTCCTCTTTGTGCCTGTCAACGTTGAGGTGCCTCAGTCCATGCCAGCCAGGCATTCCGATCTCTGGCCAGCGCCTTCATGGCATTCAGCCCGCGTCCTCTTTGCTGTCCCAGCTTAGAGATGTGGTCCGTCCACGTTAACCTAG